CTGGTGGTGGTGGTGATGGTTCAGCTAGCGGACATGTTGGACTTAGAAGTTTTGGAAAAGTTGAGCCTAAAGTGGTAAAACCCTGGCCCTTTTATAGAGAAAAACAGCACATGGACCAGCTAAAATTTGCCTTCAAATTGTGTTTGGTTTACAGTGACAGAAAATTTTTCTTTAACTAATAATTATTAATGGGATCAATTTCGGCCTTTTCGGTCTTACAGTCTTATCGGCTTTCGAGGGCTCAAGCCTAAGAGGGGGATACTGTCAAGTCCATGCCTCGGTACCCCGCTCCGCCGCTCAGTATTCCGAGATCTACCATTGATTGTAATCTTATCCTTATTGTTCTTTCTCGCTACACATTCCCTTTCTACCTAGGCTATTCCTTATTGTCTTATTTTCTACCCTGCAGGTACTACACATATAGCTCCTAGTAGTTAGACTGGTGCTCCGCCCCAATGCACTGATCCGTATGTATAAATACTGCCTGTATGATACTGTAGTTCCTCAGTTTAATTATCAACTTAGATTCTCCTCTCCAACTTAGTCTTCAGGCTCGTCGCCTTGAAGTACTCTCTACTCTATCCTCAGGACTTACAAGTTCTTTGGTTCACTCCTCGTCGGCGGCGATACCGCTGCTCCAACTTGGCTGGCTCTCTTCCTTCTCTACTCTTGATCTCCGGGGACTAGTGGTGTAACGGTGGTGTTGTTAATAACTTCACTACTGTCCCACTTGGCCTTCTGCCCTTAGACACCTTGTGGCCTCTGGCACGGTTTCATGGTGTACATGATCTTAACAACCTGGATGTTTGCAAGAGCAATGGTACTAGCAGGAGAGCATTTCCCAGCTGGACAGTGCTGTCAGCTCCTTTCAAGCTCTTAGCTGAAAATACAGGTTTTACAGATGCAGTGTTAAGCCATATGAGGTGAGGTATTCAGAATCTGTGTTTGAAGTGCCCATTTTCCTCCTCATTGCAGTATCTTCTCAGTAATTCTCTTGATATGTCCCATCATCCTAGTAGTATCTTCAGTATACCACCAATGAATGCATTTATCAAGGAGGCATGGGGTTAAGATACAGTCACATTATGAAATGGGAACTACATCTGCAAAACCTGTATTTTTGGCTAATGGTCCGAAAGCAGTCAAGAGCATTTCCCAGCAGTGAAAGCACTCAGAGCAGCCTGCTCTCAGTACTTTCAGTACTGGGATCTGCTCTCAGCCCTTAGCTGAATATCCATGTTTAGCAGATGTAGTTTGTCACGCGAATTAGGTGCTGCCTCTGTTGGGAGTCAGCACAAACAACGAGAGTATTCTGGTCTTTTTACGCTTGGTCTACTTCATGTGCCGGTAGGTAGAATTTTGCATTCCGTCAGTGCGTTCTGCGTTCACATTCGCGTTTCGTGCGTTCATATGCATTCATATATTTATTATATTATGTACAATAATATGATTTTAGTGTTCAATTATTGATTACTTCGATTGTACTATACATAATGTGTGCATAAACTGTACAATATGTAGTAGATTAGTGGAACAATAGTAACATTTCAGTCAAAATATCGAAATTTAACAATATTTATGTAAACTCAGAACGCAATCAATTTATGAATGCAAATTTGATAAATTGATGTTGCGTCCATATGCGTTCAGGTGCGTTCACCTTATATGCGTTCATTTTTAATCTTGGCGTTCACCTGCGTTCCATGCATTCAGGTGCATTCCGGATGCGTTCCGGCTTCACTCAAGATTGGATTGCAATTTTTGACTCTTCAGTTGTATATTTGAATATTAATGACTGCATTAATAATTGTTGGCCAGGTCCTCAGTGTGATTACACTCTGAGAGGAACTGGTTGCATCTTATTGATAAAGCTTACTGTTCTGATATTTTTAGCTTTGTCATTGCACTATTACTATCAGACATTAGTCTTCAAAATGTCATATCCTGTTCCTCTGAGTGGCTTTATTATCTATTTTTATGCATAATTTATGAGTCCTGTTATAGAGTACAGCATCACCACCATGGATTGGTATGCATCTGCATATGTTAAGTGAGAGTCTCTGCTATGTTAGTACTATGAGCTCACAGTGAGTTTTATTATATCTAGCTCACCTCAGTTGACTGTAAAGAAACTGAGGGACTTGAAGACACTGCTGGCATGATCTAACTACAACTGTATAGTACCTACTCATAACACTGTCTAAAGTATCAGTAGTTCACCTCAGAGATGCACGAAGGTGAAGGCAATCGTCTGAGGTGGCTCTGTGATAAGTACGAGTTTATATAGACTACAAAATGTTGCTGTCGCGACAAGGCAGGAAGCGGGAGGTGGGAAGTCTGAATATGCCAAGGAGCAATAGTGGCAGAGCGAAGAGGCACAGAAACAAGCACAAAGCACAGATGAAAGAAATAATGATCTCGAACAAGAGTGGGATAGCATCAGAGGCCAATCACACCAGTAATCAAAAGGGAATCTAGTTGCCCAATGACCAAGTTAGATAGGTAGTATCTAAAAGGATACAAGTACTTGCCTAGTTGCCCAATGACCAAGAGGTCGAGATGGGGAACTAGGATCTGTCTACTGTCCTTTATATACTACTCTTGTCTAATGAGTAAGCGATTGCGATATAGAACAAGAATGAGGAATCAATATATACAAGTAATAATGAGTCAATAATGAATCATAATGAACTAATCGATGAATAAGGATGAGTTGTATGGAAGCGTATGGAAACAAATGGAACTAGTGGGATAATCGTGTAATAAAGTACAATAAACATGTGAAAAGAGATTGATGGAAACACACCGCTGATGGCGCATCAAAGGGTGCATTATGAGACTTCATGACAGTTGCATTGACCGATGAGGTCAAAGCAATGAGTATGGTAAAAGACCATGAAATGCCAAATTCTGACCCAGGTCTTACAGCCTATCTGAGAACTGGAAACACCATGTACTAGTGAAACACATCAAGATGCGACACCACTACATATGGGAAAAGGTAGCAAGTGGGGAGGTTCGGATACAGTGGATCAGGTCAGGGGAGAATGTAGCAGATATTTTTATGAAAGCTCTCAATGGTACTTCTCACTCCAACTTGGTATTGCTACTGAGACTGGATTGTACAGAGTAGTGGGGGGTGTTAGGGAGTACTCCATATGTCAGATATACTGCTTTGAAATGCCTATTCAAGAGATGGCAGTATGTCAAGCCCATGCCTTGGGTCTCCATTCCGCCGCTCGGTATTCCGAAGATCAACCGTTTATTGTAATCTCACTCTTATTGTTCTTTCTCGCTACACATACCCTTTCATTCTAGTCTCTCCTTATTGTCTTTTACTTTACCCTGCAGGTACTACACGTATAGCTCCTAGTAGTTAGTCTAGCGCTCCGCACTGATGCACCGATCTGTAGATATAAATACTGCCTGTACGCTACTGTAGTTCCTCAGTTTAATTATCAACTTAGATCCCCTCCTCAACTTAGTTCTCCTCTAAGTCTTCAGGCTCATCGCCTTGAAGCACTCTCTACTACTACCTTAGAACTTATACGTTCTTTGGTTCGCTCCTCGTCACCGGCGATATGCCGCTCCGACTTGGCTGCTACTGGCTCCTCCCTTCTATACTCTCGATCTCTGGGGACTGACGGCGTAACGGCGGTGTTGTTAATAACTTCACCACTGTCCCATTTGACCTTCTGCCCTTAAATACCTTGTGGCCCTGGCATGGTTACACGGTGTACATGATCTTAACACAGTATTACTTAATAACTATACAGTTCAACTTAGATCACACAAAGTGGCATTAGTCTTACTTCAACAGTACTTGGTCCATGTTTGTGTAGTATAGTTAAGAGAAAAGACTATTTTGTATGTATATTCCAACACAATGTACTAACCCCATGTTTTGAGAAGGTATGTATTGTTGAGGTATACTCTGTACATGGGGAATGGTACATACAGGTTAAGTAGATATGTACAAACATAGAGACAGCATTATTAGTGAATACTGTACAGTTAGATATAGATCACACTGATGGCATGTTTCCAAGTCCCTCAGTTGCTTTACAGACAACTGAGGTGAGCTACATAGTATATTGCAACAAACTAAAGTACTAACACAATATAGTATACTCTTACATGTATGTGATGGTTTTTTAATCATTGGATAGTTAATGGCCTCTGGACATTGGTTGGAAAATAAGAAGTGGAACAAGAGAGAAGTGTCTAAGACTGTGATAACTAGCAATCTTACAATCTTACCTATGGGAAGCACTATGAGGTACACTAGAACCCCTCTATCACTCTATACTGCACTAATTTTTGAATGATTTGGTGGAGAATTCATCTCAAGATCATGTTTTTGGGCTCAAATTTGACTGCAATAATATGGATGTACTTTCCAAAAAAATAGATTAAATATTTGGGAATAGTTTAGTAAATATGATAAATATTCCTCGTGAACGCAGCTATATCGAACGTGAACGCACTTAATTGAACGCAACGAACTTGAACGCAAATCCGTCGGAACGCAGAATGCACCGGCGGAACGCGAAATTATACCGTCCGTTCATGTGCTTCGAGATGGGGGAAAATCTAAATTTATTTTTCTCCTCCTGCCTACCCTCTATGTAGGAAACCTATGTACTTAACCTAGATGGGATAAGTACATAAGGTCCTCGAGTACAATAATATAGGTCAAAATAAACTTTAAAAGTTAAAACAATAAGGGAACAATGCCCTGGCTCTTTGACCCAGGCACCAGTCCGGTGCGGGCACAGGACTTGTCGAGTTCTGTGTGCAGGAGCACATGAAGCTCAACAACTCCGAATTGAGGAACAGATATTATATTCGGACTGCAAAAAGAAAAAACTTGCAATTGCAAAATCCTGTACATATCGACTCAAGTGGTGTTTATGTATGGAAAAAAGGAAAGAGATGTATCGCGCGCGGTACTGGAGTAATGAGGGGAATAGGATGATGTTTTCATACAAGTCAAGTCCTTACACTATCAACATCCCCGACACGATTCCGGTAAAGACTATGCTCATGATTGCAATCACAATCCCCCCATTTATACCCTTTAATCCCACAGGGCTTGACGATCCATTCGACCCTGCAGACGCTGACGACCCATTCGGCCCTACAGACGCTGACGACCCCTGGGATCCAGAACCGCACAATGGCCCAGATGAATTCAATGCCTCTTCAGGCATTAGAACTTTGGGTAGACCATTAGTCGCTACGACAGTCAAGCTACCGTCCGAGCCCATCATCACAGAATCACACGATAAGACATCTACAAGGGTTTCGTTTGGGCTGTATAAACCCGCTGTGCTAGGAATAATCCATGTTGCATTGGACGAGTTGCCTCCGTTTGTAAGGAGAGTGAGCAAAGGCGGTTTAGATATAGCTAGTGTGGAAATGGAAGACTGCGAAATGAAGGAGGCCTTGGTTGTGAGGAAGGACGAATTGTATGATATAGCTTGTTTTCGTGCGGAGTTAAGGGCTTGAACATGGGTGAGAAGAGGTTTATCTTCAGTGCTGAAGCCCGATAGCCAAAGACTGGATGAGGAGAGATTATAGTTGGATGTAATTCAGAACATATAGCAGAAGATGTTATTTAATGGCTTACGCTTCTCGATTGGCGGGATCGTTGGCTCCTTGGTACCCTTGCTCTTGACCATAATAAAGTATAGGGATACCGTCATTGATGAAAGGCCAAGTGATGAAGTTTTTTACGACCTTTGCGCCATAAGTGTATATAACGATTAATATGATGGGTAGTAAAACGGTGTATCAGAAAGCTCACCGATTGGTCAGAAACAGTGGACTGAATTCTGGGATTGTCTTGATTTTCGACGAAAGAACCAACGTAGAAAGTACCATGATTGTATTGATCTTGAGCCTGAGTGACTACGTCTGCAATGACGGTCATGTTGCCGAAGGTGCCGTTGTTGAAGGCGTCGTAGACGGCAAAGTAGGTCGGATAGTCGAGAACACTATCAAGACCCTCTAGGTAAAGATCATGAGATTACGGAAAGCAATTGGAAAAAAAGACAAAGCGTACCAGTGTATGAAGCAACGTAACTGACATTGCCGGTGAAAACCTCGCCCACAGTATACACCCCTGCATTCGACGCAAAATCGGGCCAGAAGTCCTGGCGAACGTGTTTGACCGTGTCCACCCGAAGTCCATCGATGTCGTAATTTGATACTAGATTTTTGACCCAGCTGTACATCATATCTACCACAGTGTTGTTTTCGGTATCGATATCAAGAAGGGGTATACTGGCGTCACCTAACCAGCATTTTTCGACATCGGTCTGATTGCCGTAGTTGGATATGAAGCATTGAGGATGGAACGAGTGTGGTCCACCAAAGGGTTGCAGAAGAGAGTAGTCAAAGGTTTCGGGCCATACACTGGATGTGTTAGTAGGTATTGCCACGAGACTGTGAACAGGTGGACAGGGGAGACATATGTAAAGTTCGCTAAGTAATATAAACAATAGACTTACTGGTTCACGACGATATCCACCATGAGATACATCCCTCGTTCATGGAGAGCAGAACTTAAGCTTTTCAAATCATCATCAGAACCAAAATTAGCATTGAGCGAGTTGATATTTTGCGCCCAATACCTAGTGAGATATTGACTGAGGAGCTCAATGGCGATTAAAACGCAACTCACCCATGATAAGCTTCTCCTCCTATCGTCGTTCCTTCGATGTTTTCAACAACAGGCGAGATCCATATAGCGTCAAAGCCCATTCCCTGAATGTAATCCAGTTTGCTGATGATTCCTTGCCAGTTGCCACCGCAGTATTTCCTTTCGTTAGTGGCACATCTCGGCGATGATCCATTTCCCAAAGCGAATCGGTCGGTGACTACCTAGAGACGGAGACCAAAAGCTCAGCGTCGTTAAACTGTGGTACAAATAAATGCTCACTTGATAAATAGACCTGTTTGTCCAGTCTTCCGCCGACGCTGCAATCACCGTGACAGAAAATAACAAAGTCGAAACAGCCACCGCGATCGCACCCCAAGAATTCTTCATAACGATATAAATACACTAGGAATAAGGTCCACACGAAAAAAAGAGAGCTTTCGGTGATTCGCAGGTTGAAAAAGGGACCATAACATTTTCTGAGTTGAGAAACACATCGATTCAGAGTCAGCCCCTTTGAGGGGTCTGAAGCTTCTGAAGCTTCTGAAGCTCACTGAGCGCTCATTGTCAAGGCTGAATATTTGACATTGCTTGAAGTCGCCACCTTGATGTAATTAGCAGACGTTGCAGCGAGGGGGGATGATTAGCCAAAGATACCGTAGGAGTGCCCTAGAAGAAGGCCTGGATATGTAGCTGATGTCAAGGCGCATATGCCGCCAGCGCTAGGCCTTTAACCTCGTACGTACGCGGCTATGGCATATACAGGCTGATATCTTGCCCTCCCGTGTGTTATACCCTGGTTATATCGCATGCTCAATTGGATCTCAGCGGTCGCCGTCAAAGCGCATATAAATGCACAGAGTGCCACAGACTTCTAGGCATTCCTTCTCTCTCAATTTTCAAAGACCTTCTGAGCCAGGTTAAATCCTGTAAGCTTCAAGTCAATCAACCTCAATCAACATGTATTTTGCATTTCTTTAGATATCAACTCAGAGAATACAAAGCTATACAAAGTCGGCGATATCTGGCACCGATATGGCTTAAGGGTGGCTCATGATAATGCTTCTGGCTCGTACCGAGCCAGTTCCCAATGATTCTCGGTTCGGGTGGAAGTGGAAGTATGATGTTCTGGCGTTAAGTGGTTTTCTTTTTCCCTGACAAGAGCGCTCACAATGGGCTGGGGATAGCACAATTTATCGCTGCTGCTAGTCCTGAGTGTAATCCTTGAGCAGGGTAGATGAAGTTCTAGATGTTTTGTTTTCAGCAAGCTCACATGTTTGCGTTTCGTACAGGTAGGTCTTCATCGCCGATTTAGCTTGATTTATTTTTCATGCAGATGGGTATACCCCGCATACAAGATTTCCCCTCCACTTCTGCAAATTTGAAGGCCTGGGGACTGAGACGCGGCCAACGCTCCTTTCACAATAACTATGATTCCATGTACAACGCACAACCTTGAAAAGGAGCATTAACATCACCGGCGCCCGCTGTCCTGGTCTGGTCAAAGTTACATGTGCAGTGCTTCCCATTTTGTGAATGTTTTCCCGTTCGTAATATCATGAGTGGTCTATGCCTCTGCTGGTCGTTCATTTTCTTTTCGCCTACGCATGGTCGCTCTTTCTCGCATCAAAGATACAAAGATAGAACCTTTCCTGATGGCAGAATTATTCTCAAGAATGGGCGGAACAAGGTCGTAGTAAGTAGGGTACTATATTGTCAAGTAATCACCGTGGATGGGTTTCAATGTTCCATAGATCACAATGACTAACCCATCTTCAGATTCCACCGAACCATCACACGGGAGCATCTTCATCTCCCGAATTTCTCCTTCCGATGTACCATTTAGCTCGGAATCAGCTAGAATCGGCTACACCGAAAAGGCTCATACCGAAAAGGCTCATGTTTGCTACTCCGAAAGACACGGTTTCATCCATGGTTCTCTTTGACATGTATGCATTACTCACATGTGCCTGTTTCTTACCCATCAAAGTGTATGGTCATTGGTATCAACTTTCAGCTAGATTACTGACACGATGTCCTTGTTTGAACCTATCAGACTGGCCCAGAAGATCATAGATCTCGACGTTAGTTTTGTGTGTGCGCCGGGAGTGCAACTCCTTCCTGATCACTGTTCACAGACAACTAAATCTGATACTGCCCGGGTGCGTGATGCTTCAGAAGCTGATCTTGAGCTCATCAGCGATTTGCATCCCATTCCAGAATGATGGGCTTCAAACATTTAAAAGAGAGCGTGCAAATATTCCTCTCGTAGCTCATTAGTTTTGGTTATGTCTTCCAACAGATTATATGAACACGCCCTCTTCAAGATCAGAAATGAACATCTCTCAAAGGACGAGAGTGTTTCTCTTGCGTACCAGCGTGCTAAACTAGTCGTACGAACATATCGTCAGTGTCTCTACTTCGTTCACCCTCATTCACTGACTGACTGAGCTGATATACAGGCTTGACTGCGGCAGATGTGGAGCACTGCTCTCCAAAGTTCTGGAGTATGATGACAGACCCCATCTGCTCTTTGGACATAGCAATGTTCACCATTCTTGCGGCTCATGTCGGCCTCACGATTGGTACCCTTTCACGTCATCTCAAGAGGCGACCTGACTTGCGGCCTTTGGTCGACCGACTTTTGAGGTTTGATACCGTCGGTATTTACCTACTGACAGAGCGTGGCCACGGTCTGGATGCCTTCAATATTGAAACCACCGCCACAAAAACCAAGGATGGTTTCATACTGCACACACCTCGTGAAGAGGCTACCAAGTGGGTTGATCCTTTGATATTCACCATTTCGTCTGACCATCGCCATGATGCAGATTCATGCCAGCATCCACTCCTTCTTTCGGCATCCCGAAGGTTGCTTTGGTGAACGCGAAACTGATTGTGGATGGCCAAGATCGTGGCGCACGGTTTTTTATTGTGCCAATTTGCAACGAACATGAAATGTATCGTGGAGTAATTTCAACTAGGTTGCCCACGCGCAGTGGCACGAATCCACTCGACTTCTCTATTACACAGTTCAATAATGTCCAGCTTCCTCCCACAGCCCTGGTTGCGTCAGACATTACAGATCTCGCACCTCCAGAACGGCCTTTGGAGGCGTGGTGGGATGAGGTTCGTCAGATTCATCAAACGTTTCCACCTTGTGCTTACTACAATGTAGGTCTGGAGAATTCAGCTTGGAACAATGGCTGTCCCCGCGCCCTGGATCAATGCATTGAAGGCTACCGCTTTCATTGGGGGCCGTTACTCTATGCACAGGTCTATCATTGGAAAGACTTCCAACACTCCAATCATTTCCTTCCGCACGCAACAGTGGCCAGTGCTAAATGCGACAGCAGTCGCAATGGTTATGGATAATTGGTTCCCTCGCTCGATCAAGTTTGCCATGACAGACACTACGGATGACCGCGTCAGGCATGCCATGTCCGTCATCGTGAAAGCCACCGTATGTCGACACTTCCAACGGTGTGTCCCAGAAATGGCAGAACGTTGTGGAGCCCAGGGAACCTTCGAACACAACTACATGGCGAAGATTGAGGTATGTGCGAAAGTAACTGCTTCGTTTTTATTTCAGGTGTTGACACCATTCACAGAATGACGGTAAGGGTGTCATTATCGCAGAAGGGGATATTTTGACGCTCTGCATCCGGCTGTTCTCCGAGTTATTACTAGGACGCTACACAGTTCCAATGCCCTCGGCAAGCAACTCCCTTCTGGCACAGCACGCTCTCGGGCTTATGAAGGAAAACACAGAAATACTTCGCTTCCTTGGCGACCATCGCAGTGAATCCTTCAATTCACTTGTCCTGCCACAATCTCAAGCAGTCATCGAAGCCATTGGCCACGCCATGGCTTATGCCGCAGCTGGAGAGGCAAAAATACCTCAGCCTATTCTGGACATTTATGAGTGCTCTGTCATTCGCCAAGATCCAGCTTGGTACTCCGAGAATGTTGGTCTAAATCGTATGGCTCAGCGTCGCCGAGAAGATGCAGCGGTCAAGGCCGCTCTCCCTAATTTGAACGCCTATCTTGATGCACTTCGTATAGAGGACTATGTGTCTGCTCCTATCGTCTCGGATGAGGGATGGAAGAAGTATGTCGACTCGCTTCCCAGACACACTGGTAATGCGACTGTCGAACCTCAACAAATTCAACACACGCAAGCAATGTTGTGATCTCTCTTGAATCTTGATGCTTGCTGCGTTCTTCTCTAGTCCAAATACATTTAACTGTTTATTGTTTATCATTTATGTATATGTATACAAATCTGCTGGGATATAGCTAACTCTTAACAGTAGACATTTCTCGAGAAACTTCACGATCGCGAGCTGACGTGACCAACCGAACAGCCTGATTAAGTTTCAACTACACCAACACATAAGCTTATCGATCTAGTTGAACTATATGCTAGTCATACGTGATACAAGTCAACGGACCTAAGTTTTGCAATGGCTGGGGTAAGACTCGTTCGAAACGATTAAGTATTTGATTATGACCCATTGAAGACTATCATAGATTGAACCTCTGATGGCGAGTACATGGGAAAAGACACTTTCAATCAAGCTGATATTGCCTGGAAGCCCTCTTCTCTTCCGACAATCTATCGAAAAAATTCCTTACGTCTGCCTCATTGACTACTTTACCTTCCTGTGCAAAAGGGCGTAGATACTGGACGAGGTCATCTCTAACGCTTGAGGTATTAGACCTTGACGAGATGCGTCAGAATGATCTCGACGTACCTCATGGCATTGAATGCTTGAATCCCATCTATTGCGCGCTCGCGCGGTAATCTTGAAAGTGCACGCATGCCGAGCTCTTCCAATGTCAAAGCTGACGAACAATCAAGATTGACTGATGCACGATAATGAAACGGGATGACTAGTAAGTACCTGAATCGGGATCTTCTGGTGGTTCATACGTTTCTTCCTCTTTTGAAAGATAAGGGTGTGCTTCTAGTTCCAAAAGGCACTATCAATGGTTGTTCAGTTCACCTAGAAAACTCAGAGAGGTCTCGGAACAGATCATCAGAAGCTTACAGAAGGACATTGGCACCAGCGTTCACGGAAGCTCTCAGATAGGAATATATCACCTGTGCTCAGAGCAAAAGAGGGATCCGTCATGGACGCCAGATCCACAAAAATCTTTTGTATGATTGAGTTTGAAGTCGGAGCGGAACATTCAACGGTGTAGGGTGTTGAGACGGGCGAAAGGCGAGGCCTTTTCACGGTGTTGTCACTGACAATAGCTGTAGGCGAAAGAGCTCGTTTTTGTCCAGCTGCGCGTGTACTGGACTCTGAAACTTCCTGTGAATCGGTAAGGTCTGCGTACAGATCCTGAAAAACTTTCCAAGGACAACTTGGCTTATCCCGAGTTACTATTAGACAACCATGGGTACCGGCATATTTTTGCAGGAGAGGCATCTGCAGCACACAATTGCCGCAAACAAATGCATCATAGTCACCCGGACCGATTAAAGCTGGAGGGAGCTCATTCGATGCATCAGACGCTGCGTCTCCATTGGGATTCTGATCCTGATTTTCCGGAGGAAGATATTCGGAATTGGGGCGTTCACGGAGATTACAACAAGACTCGTGGAACCAATCCTGCAGACAAATTAGAGACAAATGAATGGCACTTTTGAAGTTGTACCCACCTCACAAGCCAAACATTGTATCATGGTCTCTTTCTCAGTGGCCGCATCATAGGGCCTTTTACATCGGCAAAAAAGGGCCTGGAAATTCTGACCATACTCATTTGATTCGTTGGATCGTTCGAGGGTTGCATGCAATGAACATGCGTGTGCGATGGATTCAGTGGGGCAATCACATCGAAAATTCCGTTTGGGAAATCTAATGATTGATTTATCTCCAATAAATTACATCCGAGGGGAATGAAAACTTGCAAGAAAAGATATAACATACAATTCAATTTGTTCGTGGTCAGTGTGACATGCTATTGAGCAGGCAGAACATATTCCACGGGCTTCGGGACATGTGAGGCAGAGATATACGGCCTGTCTGGACAAATGTGGGCATGCGACGATCGAACGCAGTCTAGCATACATAGTTTACCTTAGATGACCGAGGGGATATGTGCACTGGGAGAATTGGTGAGGAAGGGCTTCTGCAGCCTCCTTAACGAGGACATCCTGGGATGCAACATAGTCTGCAAGAGTTTCGGGATTAGAAGAACCAGTACTAGTGGACATGAACGGAGCAAGGAAAAGTGCGTTAAGCGCTTACTCGTGACCTTAATTTCAAAGCTCTATGTAGTCCGGGAATTCTGAAAGCGCTTTCGGAATTCTCGAGGAACGCGTTGCCTCGGAACACTCATAATACCACCATCGTGACGAGCTCCATCTGGCCTACGTTTCCTCACTGTCAGCGATGTCTACGAACAAAGGAAACAACCCTGATCCAATTCTGCTGACGCTTTTCGCCAATCGCTTTATGAGCGTAGCTGAAGCCATGGGCAGATCTTTGCAGCAGACCTCGATAAGTACTAACATCAAGGAACGGTTGGACTTTTCCTGTGCTCTCTTTGCTCCAGACGGAGATTTGGTTGCAAACGCACCGTTCATACCAATTCACCTTGGTTCAATGAGCTTGTGAGTTGCCGTATAGTCAGGTCTTTCCATCTTTATATGGATTACATGTAGCGCCGTCAAGTACCAGAAGAAACTGTACGGCAAAGATTTGAAGGAAGGCGATGTGCTAATGACGAACTCGCCTCATGCCGGAGGATCGTAGGTTTGTTCTATACATGTCCAGTCCACTGATTTATCTCTGTCATTCCAGACATCTCCCAGATATCACAATCATTACTCCCGTTTTCGATTCCAACTCGAAGGAAATCATATTCTTTACTGCATCTAGAGGACACCATGCCGATATCGGGGGTATTCTTCCTGGTTCAATGCCACCAACCTCGGTGAATATCTTTGAAGAAGGTGCTGAGATTGTCAGCTTCAAGATTGTCGATGCTGGAGTATTCGATAGGGAAGGGTTATTGGATTACATGGTTGAGCAGCCAAGCAAGTACCCAGGAAGTTCAGGTTGTAGAAATATCAGGGATGTTGAAAGCGATTTGAAAGCTGTATGCTACCTGGCATCTGCTCATAGTATCACAAATGCTCAATCATTTCTTGACAGCAAATCGCGGCGAATCATAAAGGCATTCAGCTGATTCACGCCAGTGCGTCCATTTCAAGTTCTTTCTATTCCAGGTAACGAAATTATGTGTTCTAGTTGTAGACGATTACGGCTTGGAGACTGTTCAGGAGTACATGTATCACATTCGCTCCAATGCCGAATTATCCGTCAGAAATCTTCTGCGGGATGTCGCACAACGCGCTGGTACGAACGAATTGTCAGCCATCGATTACTTGGACGATGGTTCTCCGGTAAGTCACTTATGAAACACATGTGTATGAGCTCCACTCATGATCACCGTCCTCGCTCACCTCTCAAATCACGAATATCTTCGTCCAAACCTCATTATCTACACCACATTGATTCCCGTGTTTTACGATGTCGATATTGAATTCACTATATTTATTATACAAATAATACACATCATCTGGTCGCAAACAAAGATCCAACTCAAGGTCGCTATCAACCCCTCAGAAGGATCGGCGGTTCTGGATTTCGAAGGTACTGGATGGGAAATACGAGGCAACCTGAATGCGCCTATATCTGTCGTTCATTCCGCCGTGATTTATTGTATGAGGTCGATGCTAAATCTCGATATACCCCTCAATGCAGGGTGTCTTGTGCCCCTCGATAGTAGGTCCAATCAGTTCTTCTCGCGGTATTCCGTCTTTTCTTCCACCCTGTCGTTTTGATTCATTTTCCTTCTTGTTTCCACTTCTTCTTCTATCTATTAAACTTTCTCGGTACCGTTTGAAATGAGCTAATCTCGCGTTTCTACAGTACGAATACCCCCAAAATCGTTACTTTCGCCTTCTCGGACGGCGGCAGTGTGCGGAGGCAATGTTTTGACCTCGCAGCGCATTGTAGATGTAGTCCTGAAAGCGTTCCATGCCGCGGCAGCCAGTCAGGGCTGCACAAAGTAAGTACCATCTTGTGCTTGTAATACTCCCATTTGCTCGTCTTCATTTTGAATCGAATGTTCGCGGTAGTTTGGTGTGGAATTTCATCTTCTGTTCGTATTTCTTTTTCATCATTGCTAGCTTCTACTTTCGTTTTCTGGGCCGGATGTGTGCAAGCATGGGTTCATCTGACTGAACTTGTGCTGATGTTTCCACTGCAGTAACTTAACGTTTGGGGCCGGTGGTAAAGGCAAGGACGGGAAAACATCTGCAGGATGGGGATATTACGAGGTAAGTTCCAAACGCAATCTTCGTCTTTTTCCATTTGCCGCCATTCGATGTCCGGAACGCTCGTGGCACCTGATCGTCAATTCTTTGACAGAGCCACTGACTTACCTTATACCCACCAGACTATTGCTGGTGGCTCAGGTGCAGGGCCTTCTTGGCACGGTACTTCAGGTGTCCATACTCACATCACGAACACTCGCATCGGGGATGTTGAAATCCTCGAAAGGCGCTACCCAGTCATGTTACATCAATTTGGACTCCGGGTAGAGTCCGGAGGGAAAGGGAAATGGCGCGGAGGAGATGGTGTTGTGCGGGAGCTGGAATTCTTAGAGGGTATGCAGGTTTCCATATTAAGCGAGGTTAGATTTTTTTCTCTCTTTCATTCAACTCCTGATTCACATTCCAACTTTTTCCATCTCTTTGGGACTGATGACCAACTTGAGTTAGCGTCGAACCAGGCAACCTTATGGAATGGACGGCGGCGGACCTGGTGCTCTTGGTCGGAACACGTGGATCAAGCAACCTCGGGCGGAAGACGGAGATCTTCCAACCAAACCCGAATACTTAAACAATTCGGAAAGCATCGCCTCTGAGGGAGCAAGAAAAATCAACATTGGCGGTAAAGCAACAGTGTGGATGGGGAAAGGTGATCGACTCTTGATTGAGACTCCCGGAGGTGGAGCGTGGGGTGTATCTGCCGAAGACTGCTCAGCGATGGACCAAGAGGTTCATAAACCGCAGTGGGAACCACGAGGTTCGTTCGCTGAGAGAGCGAAAGCTCAAGCTGCTTTCTAATTTTTCGGACTCGGTCGCCCGAAGGATGACAAGGAGTAGCACGTGCATTCACTGACCGTACACTAAAAGGGGAACAAGCCGGATTCGGAGACTTACAAGACTCGACGACTTGATACAAGATATTGTATTCAAGCCAGAGGGGTAATTAATGTATACTTACAGTCAGTACGATGACCAAATTTCCTGACCATAAATTCATTTGTTCTCCTCCATTATTTGTAACTTTCATATACTTAGTCTCCCGAGTCTAAGGACTGCGACGGGAGGCTTTAACCCGGGAACTGTCTGTGACCGCCCGTGAATTACAGGTGGGTACGGGGCGGGTAAAATTCCCGCGGGGCTGGGTTGTCACCCACAGTTTTATTAGCACTTGTAGTATAATAATATGCTGTTCATTCTGCACAAAAATAATGCCCCCCGGAAATGTAAATGCCCTGGAAAGAGAAAGTTCCTGCACCAAAAAGTTTCCAAGTAGAAATAAATTATTGAATACCTCCTTGTTTACTTGCTGTATCTAAGTAGTTTTTAGTTGTGCTCACAATCCATTCAAATACCATGTGAATTCAGCTGATTGGAACACACATTGTAAGTTTTCTTGAACTAAGTACTCTCAGTGCCTTTGCAGCTGGACAGTGCTCTTAGCTGCTTTTGGCTATTAGCTGAATTGCCAGGTTTTGCAGATGAGTCTTTACATCAATTTTGTTAAGATCATGTACACCGTGAAGCCGTGCCAGAGGCCACAGGGTGTCTAAGGGCAGAGGGTCGAATGGGACAGTAGTGAAGTTATTAACAACACCGCTGTTACACTGCTAGTCCCCGGAGATTGAGAGTAGAGAAGAAGGTAACTAGGAGCAGCTAGGTCAGAGCGGTGGCAACACCAACGACAAGGAGCAAACTAAAGAACTTATAGTCCTTAGGTCAGAGCTGAGAGTACTTGTCATGCCCTGCCCCAAAAGCTCCCCTAGTCACTCTCCTAGACATCCCAGAACAGCGTATCAGCTCCCTTACACCTCCCAAATAACCTCCCACAAACCTCCATGAACCACGGAACCCTAACTAACCTCCCCACCAACGCTAACCTCCATCTGAAGCGGCAGCTCCGCGATTCGCGTACGCCGCCGGACAATCCCCTATCAATTTAGCCTCATGGGTTCCGCACTTCACGCCAACCCCATTAGATGCTCGTTTATTACAATGTCCCGTTACTATTCAGCCCACCTATATAAGTATCCTCTGTAACATAAACGTCCCTAGCTTGGTATATTTTGAACACACACCCTTTTGCATAGGTCCAGTCCCTGTCCCTTTGTACCTGCTAACCATACGGATTTCTCTTTACTCTCTGTTTCTCTACCTCTGTTTCTCTCTACTTCTGTCTATTGTCTCTCTGATCGTCTGTACGATCGAATATACGCTTTTACTTCAAGTCTAAGCCTTCCGAGTGAGTCCCCGAGCTCCCTCGAACATTACTAAAGCTCCCCAACGCCTACCCGCTTGGTGAGCTACTCTTCCCCAAACCTCCCAGAGCTCCCTAGCTACTTCGTAAGCTTCGGGACCTCGATCTAGGTAACGTCGAAGCTACCCCTCACGTCGAACTACGTATTGCTTCTCCGTTACCACCTCCCACACTCGAGGACGACCATCCTCCAACCTAGTCCCCAGGGACCTACCCTCCCTGGCATATCCCTTCTCGGGAGCTTACACCCTCGAGACCCCGTTGCATAAACTACCTACTCGACTCTATATTGACGTTCTAGCGAGTACAACTCCTACTACGCAATATCTTACGGTCCCGCACTCGTCCCGAACCTCCCTACGCATTAGGGACCTCCCTGGACCTCCTAGGAACCCCTCAAGGGTCACCATCTCGTCGTTCCAACCACTACTAGGTCCTTCCCGTCCTCGGTCGCGGTTCTCGTAGCTCCCTTCGAGCTCCAGCCTGCTCCTAGCACGCTACAACATAAACCTCCACATACCAAAACCTACCCTAAGACCTATTTTGACCCAGGTCTTACATTATACCAAGCTCTCCCGTCACCGAACGGACTCGTCGCGACGAAATGTCGGCGACGTCAACGGAACGACCTTCTAGTTCCAAGACCGAATCAAAGAAACAAAAGAGCGCCTTATCTCGTGGAAACACGACACAAGCTCAGAAATCGAACCAGGCTGCTAGCTCCACTGTCATCACGGTGGCAGCTGGTCAACGCCTGATGTCCATCCCAGAACAGTCGTTCGGGGATGAAACCGCCAGCAACATCCGGACCCCAGAGGGACGTCAACCGGAGGTTCAGGGGCCCCCTCCAGTGGAACCTGGGATGGGACCACCACAACGGAGGTTTACCTCCATGGGTTACGCCCAACCTGCCAGTAGTCCCATGGGAGGTTTCGCATACTCCCCTACCTGGGGAACGAGAGGACCTCCCCCTGGACCGATACCGCAGCTAGACATGGAGTCAGCTTCGAACGCGGGTGGAAGAGTCAGCGGCCAAGTAGCCGCTATCGAAAGGATACAAGGGGGGAGTACTGACCCTCTCACAGTACGACAACAGGAGAAACTTCCAGAGAGGAGGGTATCCCCTGCAGTATCCGAACAATCTCGGACGTCATCCCGGAGGTTACCAACACCTCCAGTACAGTCCCTTAACCTTCCTCCTCCGAGACGAGGAAGTTCACTCGCCAGTCTCCTGAAGAGCCCAGCTATGAATACGCCCAACTGGGAGCGTACGCACGCAATACACCATAGCAGGACCAACTTCCCCGTACAACCCTTGTCCGAAATGACATTGCGTCTGGAAGACGTCATTCGAATTCAGGAGTGTATCCCGGAAGATGTAGCTATGGTCCTAAGGGAGGTATTGGAGTCAATGGGGATCGAAGTATTGGGAGACGGTCTCGAATTCTCAGACCTACGAGTACAGTTCCTAACAGTGGGAACTCAATTGGAGATAGACCTCCCAGAGAAGGCCCAGCAGTGGCTGATGACCCCCGCGAATCGATCAGATTTTCTCTGGCTGTACAACGTCCTGTTGGACCCAGAGAGGATGTTGGAACTGTTAGAGGCAGAGGCACGTTACGGACGATCGTTCCGAAACTCGAGGGGAATACTTCCCCTCCTCCCTCATACCCATGGAAGGGAGAAGGAATTCTGTGGCGAAGCAGGGCTACGTATATTGTACCGAGCCTCTAACTACAGATCAGGAGCTGTACGGTTTGAACCTCCCCCTTCGAGGGTGAACATACCGAACTACCAGGCGATCCAAATACTTCGGAACGCAAACCTAGCGGAAGCAGCAGCTAAAATCGATGAGGAAAGTAACGAGGATGCTAACGCAATCGCTGCAAAAAATCGTAGACGCAGGAGGTACACCACGGCTCACCTCCTGGCCCCAGTGGAGTCAATGCCTGATCAGGATAGTCCCGTCCGGGTCCGTAACGGACAGACGGTATACACGTACACGCCCATGAGGCATATGCACCAGCTTCTGGTGAGGAGTGAGGAGTCTGAAGCGATGTTGTGTTCGCAGGAGACCCGACATCGGACGCTACTAGCGGAATCAGACACTCTGATGCTGTCGGAGGAACTTTCTGGATCGAATCTAGAAAGAGCTTTGGAATTCCGTCGCAGACTGGTCGCGGATAATCGGGGAACCTCGTATATGGTTCAATGCGAACTCGAAAGCGTAGGGGAGTTCCCTCCGGAGCAATTTGACCAGAAAGGGCAGCTCCATGGATCTGATGGTCGTTTCCTGGCGCAGAAACATTCATCGCCCAGGAATACCGAGGTTCCTGAACTCCTTAACCCCGGTAACACGGCCACGAGGAGCCCCCAGTTACGCTCTGGGACCTCCCCCACTGTACATGCCTTGGCTCAACATGCGACTCCTCCCCCCAGAGTTAACCTGCAAACGAAACCTTTAACCCCAGTCTCGACGCAGCGATACCAGTTTGGTGAGGTGAGGATGGATGGCGCACAACATTCATCCCGGATCTCCGGACAAGATCTGACAGCTCGGTTGGCTCCCAACCCTGTACACGTTCCTCCAAGACTGAGCAATCCATCAGTCATTCCGTATCAAGGGTCGGTATCGATGCAATCTCAGGCAGTGGGAACGGAAAGTCAAAGGGGTCCGAACCAACGAAGAACGTTGGCAGTTCACGAAGAGGCGGTACCCCCGCAGGGAGCTCCTTTTGGAACTCCCTTTGTAACGGGAGCTCAGATGAACCGACCTGGCATGGCTTTCGAGTCGGCACGCTCTCAGGAATCGGTAGCAATGATCCAACAACAGGCTCGGGTCATTGAGACGCTCCAGGAACAACTCCGTGAGGTAAAGAAAGGATTCACAGCGGGGGAAGTACCGACTGGAGGACCCCTTTCCAAAACAGGAAACACGGCGGGATTATCCGGGCGAGCACCTAGGGTAATGAGAGAATATACGAGGGGGGGTCCTTCTCCTGTAGTTCCCCAGCCAAGGAGCTGGCAAGCTACGGAACCAATATCCTTTAACCGAAACACTCCTACAGGAGCTAGGGATGGAAACCCCCAGGTAGAACAAGCAGGACAGATCCCGGATACTCCGAGTGTGGACCGACGACGTATTCACGAGTGGGGAGCCCGAGTACAAAGAGCTGAACTAGGGGAGTATGGGAGACCAGAAGGAGGAGCGTACGCGTTGGAAAACGAGGGAGGAGGCAAAGGCGGTTTTAACCCCCCTCCTAGAGTACCTCCCCCACATTTTTCTAGTCAATCGAGAGATCGAGAACGACCTCTGAGTCAAGGGGGACAGGGTCAAAGAGAACAGGGAGGAAGGAGCGGGGGAGGGGCACCACCTCCGCCTCCTCCTCCTCCACCACCTTCCGGGGGACCGAGTGATAGTAATTCGGAAGGTTCCAATGAAGGGGAACAGAACAAATCGAGTAGGAATGGTGGAAGGAGGGAGGAGGACAGAGGAGAGCTCCCCACTGGAGCTCCTGACGTACCTCCAACACGCTATGACCCGGACCAACCCTGGTACTACGATCCAAGACAAGGTTGGCACCGTAAGGCAGCTCCTAGACCTCCCAACGAGGGACGAAGTACGTGGGAGAGCAACGAAGAAAAAAATCGGATTACCATTGAGTCGAAGCTCGACGTCGGTAAGATCGAAAGCTTCGCAGGTGACGACCGGTCGGCATGGAAGACGTGGGTCCTCAGTTTGGAAAGGATGTTTGGAGTACGACCTACCATCTATGCTCGGGAAAAGGACAAGTGCGCTTCCGCAGCTAGTCATCTCACTGGTGCAGCACTCTCCCACTTCGACACGTTGAATCGGCAACGACTGAGGGGGGAGTACACTTGTCTCGAAGACTGGACAGAATTCAAACGAGAGTTCGGTTCCAAATTCGGACCCATCGACGAG